TACCAACATTGCATTCCTGTAACACAGTTAAATGCAAGCAACAAAGTCAAAACAATCTTCAAAATTTCAAATCAATTATAAAAACAGGAATTAACAGATTATATTGATAAAATAATATGCAAGTAACAGAAAACAATCACAGAACTAAAGTTCTTGATGTCAAGCCACCTAATTCTCCAAATCCCATTCAAACTACACAAATAATTACTGAAAATCGTGAAGTATGATTGTTCATCTACCTCACAAAAGATACCATAAAGCCCTCTGGGACAAGCAGTTCCACTGATAGATCCATTTTTTCCGGGAAGACCCTGACCTCCACCAATTCCTCCTCTGTAATCAGGAGGAAAAAAAAAACTCAACCAAAGTGGTCCACATAGACGAAACTTTATGCATGGGTGTAAGCACAAGTACAAGACTTACACTAGCTAAAAACAACCCAAAACCAAAAAGAGTTGAAAGCTATGGTCAGGATCTGCTGGATGATAATTTGAAAAAAAGCAAAAAAAAAAAAAACTATTGATATGCTAGATGTCCCAGAGTAACCCCAAAGCATAACTTCTAAATTACAAAATAAAAATCCTTGCAAGTCAATTAAGGAGCCATTGCAGACAACAATACAGTTATATGATTACAAATTTACAACCCCAATCCCCCACCAAAAAAATCAAAATCCTGATTTTTCCAACTGTGTAACATATTCAACATGAAGTATACATCAATTTATTTAGAAAGGGTAACATTGGAACTGGTCTCCAGTTGTACAGGCCTTTTTTTTTTTAATCAGGCAAATGTTAGGCCTGTTGGCTTTATACTAGAAGCCATAAGCCATGAGCCAAATCAAATCATATTCAACACCACATCCAGCAATGCCATGCCCACACTAATTCAACAGTCTAACTCTTAAGAATCAGATAATCCATGAACTGGGACAATCAAACAATTCTTCAGTCACATGCTTGAAACAAATGCAGTAGATTATAAGTATATTATATACCAACCCAGAAATAATGCTTCCATTAACACTTGCTAAAGGGACATATTCATCTCCAACTGGAATATTAGACCAATGAAAATGAATCCTTCCACCACCTCCACCCCCACCACCGCTAGGACTACCTTGTCCTCCAGCAGTTGAGATTATAGAAGAGTCACCAAGTGCTAATGTCTGAATAAACAAAAGAACTGTTCCACCAGAACCACCACCAGGACCAATGCTTGAAGTAATCCCACCATCCTTCCCTCTTGTGTCATCCCCAAAGCTTTCTCCATCGGCTCTAAGTGAACCATTCAAGGTCAAACTTGACAGTGAGTGCTCCATTGAACCTATCACTGTCAAAGAAAAGATAATTACATAAAGTCACCTTTTCACCTAAAAATGTCGAGCAACAATATTTGTTCTGTCAAAGCTAAAATTAAATTAGATCTTACCAATGATGCCACCACCTGCAGTTGCACCACCTAGGCTATTATTTCCACTGCCACTACCAAGTTCACATGGCAAATCAACATCCCCATATGTGGTACCACCTTCAATGAAATTGCCGTTGTAATATCCATCCCCACCATATCCTCCATGTCCACCTCCACCACCAATACCATTTTCAAAATACCTTCCCCGACCTAACCCACCAGTACAGCCTGCAAATGGTTCAAATAAAAATAATAAATTAATAATTTAATAGACCATCAATAACATAATGCAAGCTATCAACTGATGTATGAAATTCAACAGGAAGCAGAATATTTAGAGGAAATGACATACCCAGCCCAGACACACTGACTACTCCTGAATGAGAGACATCTACATTTCTAATCCAGTGAAAGTGCACAACAGAGCCAGTTATGGTGCCTTCAACAATAACATCTTCAACACGACATATCTGCAGTAGCAACCCAAGACAACTATTAGCCTTGATACAAAGAGATCTGACCAATATAAGATTTTAAGTATTGATCGGGTAAAGAAAAACCTGAAGAGTGAAAGCCAATGATGAATTCACGTTACAATCTTCAGGTGGATGAAACAATTCCCCAGGGCAATTTTCAACTTCACAGTAGAGTTTTGGACTCCTACCATTTTAAACAATAACACGAACGGAAATATTAAACCAAATAAAGAAATGCACACCAAAGCTTTCTTATCATGCATTGCATAAACTTACATATCATCACCAGTAGCTTCTAGAGGTCCTCTTAGAACAGATCCAGGCCCAACCTTCATGTTTCAAAGATGATAGTGAATTAGTACATTAACAATAAGACAGAGTTTAAAGGTTGAGAAATCAATTTTAAGAACTTAAAAATCCCAAATCACATAAATATAGAAGAAAATATGTAAGTTATTCATGTCATTTGCTGTATGTGAGAAAGGGCAGAGATTTATTTACTACACATATTTATCAAATTTATTTGCTTTGCTCTTAACGTGGGTAAATATTTAAATTAAAAAGGGTAGTGATAGCTTCTTCCAATAGCTTAAAACTACCAAATTTCAACATCAAATGCTATAGACTAAATATTATATAATAAGATTTAATTCAATAAACATATTCATCAGAACTTTCTATCCGAGAAAAAAAAGCATCAAACAGAATTTTGTCTAAAATTATAACTATTCATCTCTTAATGTGCGCTAAACCTATTCAACACTAAATCAACTTTACATGGCACTGTTTTCAGAACCAAAACCTTCAATCTGCCAAAATTGCAAGCCTATTCAAATATTATCAAACACTATCCCATTGCTTAAAATTCCCTATTATTAATCTTCAACCTAAATTTGTAATACAGGATTAGAATATCAAGTATCCCACCTTAAATCTTCAATCCACCAAGTTTATAAACCCTATCTAACATATTAAACCCTAGCCCATAGCTTAAAAATTCATGTCTTCAACTGTCAACATAAATTCACAATATGAAATTCCACAACAAATGTAAATTTTAATATTACCAAAGCTTCCCTGCAAGAAATTCTATGAAAGAGAACCACGTGACTATCCTGGCTCACATTCCAAGTGTGCATAAATACCATGTCAAGTTGTCAACAAAGAGAAAGATAAATATTCTTCAATAGTCATTCAAATGGTTTTAATTTCTAAAGAAACAGTAAAGCATTAAAAAACAATATGAAAATGTAAGACTTCAACTTACATTGATACTATAAAACAATGACAAAATCAGATGTTGTGCTTCAATCAAGTTTCCAGCTCCAGACAAGTTCAAAAAACCTTGTCCATGAACTCCCAAATTTGCATTAGAGTGAATAACAGATGAATCCTGATCACCACCACACAATTTAGCATCCCATAGAGTAAGCAATACAAATTAAAGTTCTGCTGGAAACAAGAAAAATGCAAAGGATAACAACCTTGAGCACTACTAGGTTGCTAGCTTCAAGTAAGGATGTTGCAACAATTGAATCACCATTGGCATCTATAAGCATCTTGGAATTCAACATCAGGTGAATCTTGACAGACATACGAAGAGCTCCATAAATCTAATTTAAAAAAACAAAAAGAATGGTAGAAAATCATAAATGAGAAGACACTGTTAGTCTCTAAAGATATAAACATTAAACCAAGAACTTATAGTTTATTTCGGTTTGTAGGATATGGTTTCTGATAAAATGTGGAAAAGAGAAGAAAACAAATAGTAAACTTAATATTGACATTATTTAGTTTACACCTAGCAAGACAAAAATGGGAAAAAGCAGTGTGTGAAACCACCAGAACCCAAGTGAAAAAATACAATTGTTCTGAGAAAGAGAAGCCTTCTATAGTTCTACTTGCCTTGATTACAGAGTCACTCATCAGAAGCTCTTCTGCCATTAACTCAAACTCTGATGAACCATAATGCGCAAGCCCAAAGCTTAAAACGGCACCAAAAGTCAGACGAATTAGTCCACCAACCTGAATGTTGATGAAAATGGTATTTTAGCTATCCTTCAAATCCCAATTGTGACCATACCAAAGATAGCATTAAAAAACACAATGCATAGCCCACCAATGAAGCAATGTAAACTTTCTTTAGAAGTTCTAAAAGTAACTAAATATATCAAATTTGCTTTGCCTATTGTCTATCAGTTCCTGGTAATTCTTTCAAAATATATTTGCCCAACAGAAAAGTTGAAAAAAATTGGCCAAGCAAAAAGAGCAATATGCAGCTGTCCAAATCAAGTAACTTAAACGTTTATTTCAAGTTCCAGCAGTAACTAATTATTGGCCAGGTCTTCTGAAAATGTTTATAAAATGTTTTCTCATCTTATTTATGTTACTCTTTTCAATTGTATTTAAATCACCTGAACACGGCTCCAATATAAAGGAAATAATGCCTTGGCCTGATTCTGGACATAAACATTTGTCCAAAGAGGAACTTTAGGAAACTCTAACAGAAGCGTATCAGTTTGAGTAGACAAGTTATGATTGCAAATGGTAAGACTCCGAGGAACAGCATCATAATATGTCCCTGCAGCACCAGCGTTACCGGAACATCCAAGACTAATTCCTCCTGCAAGAAACAGAACCAGCTTTATGTAGCATGTATCAACTTATTTCTCTTAAAAAAAATTCCTCTAAAATTAACATAAAAGAGATATGATGGTCAAGAATATTGCATCTTTAAAACAATAATCATCATATCATACCATGAATAAAGAATTTTGTATTGTCATGTCTGCTGAAGACATTAATTGAAACTCTTCCTCCTCCACCACCAGCAAACCCACTACCTCCAGTGGCACTGATTGTCCCGGTTCCAGTCCTGCATTTGGGCAGAGGGCATGATTAGTTGCAAACTATTTTTTATTAAACCATGCAATCTGAAAATACACAAAGAAATAGCGAATAATTGTAGATCACGAAAGGGATGCAATATTTGTTTCGTATTTGAACGTTAGAGACTACTCAATTGTAAGCAATCACTTGGCAAACATTCTTTCACATTCCGCACCATAAACAAGAAATACAAAGCAGTAAAATCAAGAGGCTCCATCAATCTTATTTACATATATTTCAGCAAAACCAAGAAACAAATATAACAGCATACTATACAAGAGCATTTACTGGCAGTGACACTGACTACTAACAAGGTGAGGTCAGATACATGAATCAAACAACATCATAATATACTAATAGATCAGAGACCTATAAATCCTTTTTAATAGTTCTGCCTATAGTTTTTCTTTAGATTCCCTCTGCCTCTAGTGATTAGTTTACCCTGCATCCAATCCATTCCCTTAATTGGGGGATTCTAGTTCTACAAATCTTCACACATATCCATACCACCTAAGCCAGAATTGTAACATTTTTACTACCATTCATGCAGGCTCAACTCACTGCAACACTCTGCAAACATTCTTTAACATTCCAATGAAACCATGAACGTGAACGTCTAAATCCTTCCTACCCTCCCTCTGTCTCTACTCTCTAGTGAGTAGTGATTAGGCTATACTGCATTTGATTTTTACCCCTAATTGTGAGATTCTATAAATCTCCTCCACGTGCTCAAACGACCTAAGCAAGATTTTACCATTTTTCTACAATTCGTGCAACTGCAACCTCAACCTTCTCTCCAACACATTCATTCATAATTCTACAGTGATACTGACTACCAACTACAATACAAGAACAAAGTCTCAGCACACCAGGTGTGGTCGGCTACATGGATCACACAATGCTATTTGGCACGGTATAATACTCAATTAACAAATGCAATAACATGAATATTGAAGGTAAGAAGACACGATACATTACATTCTATGAGCTTTAACATAAATGCTCCCACCGGAACCTCCTCCACCCTTGATCCCACCATCCCCACCATTGGCCAAAAGATCCCCAGACACATCAATGGAATCAACAACTACAAACTTAATCCTCCCACCCCCTTCCCCACCATATTTCTCCTCCTTACTAGTCGTCCCACCCTTACTCCCATAACTCCACGGCTTATCCAGCGACGACCACGAGTACGCATCCCCACCCCACACATCATCCGGCAGCTTCGTATTATCCGAAACACACGTGGCACCTCGCCCGCCGTGTCCACCGCCCGCCCCCTGCGTCCCCGACGGCGTCCCGCTCGTCTGCGCCGGCGGCGCCCCCGCCAACCCGGTCACGTTTATCACGGAACCTTCATACAAGGTCGCGTTGCGCGCCGCCACCAGCACGGTCCCCGCAACTATCACGGCGCCACTCTGCAAACTAAATTCGTTACTGACGTTAATCAAAATCACGCAGCCCGACACGGCGCAACTCAAATTGGCGCCGGGAAGAATGTTCAATGTTCCGTTCCCTTCTATGTACACATCAGCGGTGAAAACTAGAGTGGAATTGAGATCGCAGGTGTCGGCCAGGGAGCCAGTGGCATTGAGACCGTCCTGGCACGTGAGCGAGGGCGGGTGAGGCAGAGGCGGCGGCGGCGGCGGCGAGGGAGGCGTGTAGTCGCCGTAGAGCGAATCGACGATGGAGAAATCATGGTGCGAAGCGAGAGAGAGTGTGAAGTATAGTATGGAAAGGGTGGTTAGGTATGAAAGGGTTTTGTGAAGAGTGTGAGCCATTAAAAAGGAGGCAAACTCATCACACACTATAGAGGTATTGCGATTGTAAATGGAATATAGGGTTGGGGTTTTGGGAAAGGGGAAACTTAGCGCTGAAGAAGAAAAATATAGTTGCGTTTTATAATTAAATAAATAAATGTTGAAGAGGAAGTTATGTTATGTTAGCGCAGAAAATAAAAAGCAACAAACAACACTGCAGTGACTAACGCACAAGAATTTGGATCCTTTCCTCCAAATTTCTCTCTCCAGCCTCTCCCAGAGTCTGAACTCTGAACTCTGAACTCTGAACAGGTGGCTACTACGCTACGGTCCGCACGTGTGCCACGTCCACTTCATTCTTTCTCTTCTCTTCTCTCTTTCTTCTTTCACAAGTTTTCACACTCAGAGTCAACCCACAAATTCTGTAAATTCAATGCTTGTCGCTTCACTTAGAATCTTTTTTTTTAATGTATTGGAAAATAATATTGGGAGACATAAAACTCTATTCTAGTAAAAAAGAGATCAAATATGAATAAAAATATGTGTTTTTAATATCTCTTAATTATAAAAAAAAATTAAGTACTTAATGTTTATTAACATTTACACGTGATAGACAAACTAATATTATAAATGCATAAATTATTTTTTAATAAAAGTTTGCACTTTTGTGATTATTAAATTACATGTTCAACATCCAATACATTTGACCGTTCAATGATGATATAATTTTTTAAAAACTGACAAATATAAAATTAAATTTATTGTTGTGTATATTTAATAATAAATAAATAATTAACGGTTATTTTCGTCAATTACTAATACTTAAACAGTAATTAATGATTATATTTTATAAAATAAGACTTAAATAAAAGTGATAATAATTGGATAAATGTCATGTGCATTTTAAAATTTAAAAACCTGGAAGTGGAACACAATGAGTAGACGAGGCGTATGCAGCAAGATGTTATATTGTTTCACTTTCACGTCTTATTTCACAAACTAGGGATTAGGCTACGAAATTTCTTCTAACACAACTTGCAAAAGGGATTCCGTATTCAACTATCCTTATTCTAGTTATAGTTTTTTTTTTTTTTCTTGTTTTCTTTTACAAAAAAGTTTATATTAAAATAATATTTATCTCTTCTCAAATGAGAGATGTATTTTAAAGAATAAAATAACTCAGAATTATTAATTAAAAAATCAACAATAAAAAATTGTCATAAAATTAAATTTATATTAAATAAAACTTAAAAATTATTGTGATATCAACTATTAATTTTTTTAATCAATAATTATAATGGTATAAATTTTTAATTTTAGAAGAGTCAAATCTATTAAAATAAGATATGATTCCATATCTACTAATCTTTTTAAAGATTTTTGTGGATATTATAATCACTTATTTCATTCTGATTAAAAAAAAAGGCTCTCGCCCTTTAACTCAAATCGTACGTTGACGACTAATTTACAATTTGAGAGACTTCCATAACCGTATTCAAATGTTTTTTCCGTTAAAAATTGTAGAGTAAGATTCATGATAATAAAAATAATAAAGATTTGATTATGATGGAAAAATATATTAATTATCTATTGATTATATTCCGGTGCCATTCTTGTCGTCGACTTGCACCAAGATCGACATCACAGCGTTGACCTTTATTAGTCGGTTGACCCATTTGGATTTCGTCACATATTCTTCATCATTGTAATGAAATGCCATTCATGTCACATGCATTATAGCGACTAAAAGATTTTAACCAAATATATTACGTTATTGTAAGATTCAAATATCTAATTTATTAATATTAAAAGAAGTGATTAATATAGTTTATAGTAATAATTTATTATTTTTTTATTATTTTCTTAAAATTACTTTTATATTAATTTTTTTCTTAATCAATATTCATCTTTTTTTAACCTATTAAAGTTTATGTCCAATACTAGTTTCTCTCCTAATTAATATTATTCTCTCTTTCTTAACTAATAGTAATTAGGGTACATATTTTTTAAAAATTTATAGTTAATTTATATTACCATATTTAAATTAAGAATATTTTAGTTTAAAAATAATTAATACATAGAATATTATGAATTGAGTCATATATAAAGAAATAAACAATTATTTTAAATTAAGTTTTATAAATAAAAACAAATACAATATTGTATATAAAGTTGTCTTGCATACATGGATATAATTTTTGTTTTATGCTCTCCTATTACTCTCGCTAACTTGAGCATCAAGCATTTTTTAAGTGGTCACCATTAGAGACCTTTTAAGCACTAAGTTATTGTTTTCCTCCAATTTAATTTATTATATAAAAAAATTTGCTTCAATTGTTTTTCACGCCCACTTTAGTTCAAAGATTTAAACGAAGTTCAAACTTAAAATATTGTGTAAATCGCTCAAATTTTCTCACCACAATGAGTTAATTAATTAAATTAACCATTAAAATCATACTTATTATAAATTAGCGGGTATTTTATTTACCAAGTAAACTATGTAGCACTATTTTTGTAACAAAAATAAAGTAGCGGAACTAAAAATTTATTTACATTTTAAAGAGAAAGAGTAGCATGATCGTACTGCATCTTTCGGCTTCTTTTCAAATCATATTTTATCTCTTTTTGTCCCAATTTCACCATCGAAGCTTTAGCACCTATATGTTGAGCATTTAACACAAACATGAGTTCTTCTAACAAATTTATGCATTAAGTTGGAAAAACAGACAAATTTTAAACATTAAAATGCAACTAATAGGGAGTCTAACATAAATGTTTAAAGTGTAAATCTTAGGTTTAAGTAAAAATTAAAAAAAAATTAAGAGAGAGAGAGAGAAAACGAAATCTAAATAAAATAAAATAAAAATAGTAATAGAGAAAAAGTGATTTGAAGGTATCTATAAAAACAAAATAGGTATAAAAAAAAATGTACATCAAACAAATATATAACAGTATAGACAATATAAGAAAACAAACTCCTTCCTATAACCATGCATGTCCCCATTTCAGTTTGAATTTTTGTTCTTTCCACACGTGTCAATCTCCTACCATCCATCCCTCCTCATATTTTTGTTCCTACAATCTTGAATTTCACGATTCAAAAATAAAAAACCAATCCCATGTTCGATTTACGTCTTCTTTCTAAAATTTCTGAATCGCTCCTCCTTCCACTCTTCTCACGATCAAATAGGTTTGGTTTTTTCTCCGCTCTATCCAAACAGAAATGTGGATATAAGATTTTTTTTCGTGTAATTTATCATCTACATCTTTTTCTTTTTTTGTTCTCTAACTAAAGTTTCGCATGCACCCTTGCTCATTCCTTTTCATTGCAGATTCAAGGGATGATTACGTAAAAACAATTATCTCAAGCATGTGAACAGGTTGACATAAGTGTTTTGAATGACTTTTATTGTTTGATATATTAATTTATTGTTTTATTTAAAGATATTCATGCTTTTATATTCATTTTTTTATCTTTTATTTATCATTATGTGGTATGAGGCATTGCAATTTGAACATATACTATGTCAAATATTATAGATTGCAATATATATACAAATAGTTGGTATACAGATTAAAAAAAAATCAATACTGGTATTAATACTGGGCAATTTAAACTTTCTTTTATTTTATAGAAGTTACATCGGTGTGAAGTCGCTAAACTTTGTGATAAGCATTTTCTTTCTACAAGCCTTGGTTGATTCCTTACATTAAAACATTGGAATAATTAAACCTAAAGATAAATTGTGTAATACCTTAATAGTGTGTTTGGATGAGGAATTTTACAAATTCAAGAAATTTTAAATTCTTAGTATTTGAATTACTTTATGAGATCGGCATGTGCGATCGGCGTATGGGCGATTGCCTTTTCAGATAATAACACTTAAGAATTTTGTCACTCATTTTTTAAGGTCGGCGTATGTAATCGGCGTGTAGGCGACTGCCTTTTCAAAATACAAGTTTTAACTAGAAAATTTTTCATTCATTGTTTTAATCGGAGTTTGGGCGATTGGTTTGCAAAAATTCAAGTTTTTCCACATGATGACTCATATAATATCTCGGTTTATTTCCGACTTAGATCTAAGGAGTACTTGCTTAAGCCCTTTCGCCTCGTAGGCTAAGGGCTGGAAGGCAAGTGGACCGTCTCGGCCGTAGGCCGATTGGTATCGCCAACTGGGCTATAGGCCGATTGGTATCTCGGACTATCAGGACTACACCTTAAGCATTTTCTCCTTATAGGCTAAGGGCTGGAAGACAAGTGGACCGTCTCGGCCGTAGGCCGATTGGTGTCACCGACTTGGCCGTAGGCCGATTGGTATCGCCGACTGGGCCGTAGGCCGATTGGTATCTCGACTATAAGGATTACACCTTAAGCCTTTTCTCCTTATAGGCTCAAGGCTGGAAGGCAAGTGGACCGTCTCGCCCGTAGGCCGATTGGTATCGCCGATTCGGCCGTAGGCCGATTGATATCGTCGAATATAAGGGCTACTATGCGTGTGAGGCCGCAAGTGGACCGTCTCGCCCGTAGGCCGATATTGGTATCGCCGACTCGGCCGTAGGCCGATTGGTATCGCCGAATATAAGGGCTACTATGCGTATGAGGCCGACTATAAACCTGTGCACTGCCTAGGCCGATTCACAACCTGATCTCACCCGAATGTAACCTTGGCCGACTCACCCGACTGTAACCTTGGCCGACTCACCCGACTGTAACCTTGGCCGACTCACTCGACTGTAACCTTGTCCGACTCACCCGACTGTAACCTTGGCCGACTCACTCGACTATAACCTTGGCCGACTCACCTGACTGTAACCTTGGCCGACTCACCCGACTGTAACCTTGGCCGACTCTCCCTCTCAGAGCCAGATACCGATCGACTCCCACCCATAAAGGCTTACTCGATCATTATCCGATTGGACACTCAGTAAATGGCGAGGTCCCACCTTCACTCACCAAGCATTTTCTAGATTATAAAGGCTAAAGAGATCCCCATATTCACAGGGCCCATAAGGCCCGTGAACAATAAACTATAAAATCCAAAACCCTAGAGTTAAGAAGGGGCATGAAGTGGTTCCTACAAGAAATTTTCTACTCCAACATGTTAAGGGACTTTGAGGATGTACATCATCTCTTTTGGGAGTGTCGGGTTACGACAGGTTGTGGAAAATAAACCAAGTAAAATAAACCAATTATTATTGGTGGAGAAGGCACTAAGTATAATGCTCATTGCACTAAGTATAATGATCAGTGCACTAAGAATAATGCTCATTATTTTATTAGCACTAAGGTTGCACGTTGAATGACCACTAAACGTTGTCTTGTTTTTTGTTTAATATTTTATTGTGAACCTTGGCCTATAAAAGGCCTAATGTATTCGTAGGAAGTGTGCAGCAGAATCAAAACAATTCTTCCTTCTTCTTTCAATTTGAGTAGAACAATATTTATTTTACTTGTGAGCATCATGAGTTTCTGATATCA